CGATTTCTCGGGATACGTGCGGGTTGCTGTCCAGCCCCAGTTACCTGTCCCAGGCATTACGTTTATTCTTGGGAATGACATAGCGGGGAAGAGAATCGTTCCTCTACCCGAAGTCGTTCTGGACCCTGTGCTATGTGAAAATGATGTAGCGGTGGAACACCCGACGGTGTTTCCTGCTTGTGTGCTTACTCGTGCACAGCGGCGCCAGCTTGCCGACATAGACCTCGAGGACACGTTCATGTCCGTGCCGGTGCTTGATAAACCCTCGAAGATTGAGTCTGTGACCCCGGTTACTGATACTGATCACTCTGTTACCTCCCCTGAAGTTCCCTCCACTAAGGATGCGCTGATCTCGGCACAGAAAGAGGACCCTTCCTTGGAACCCTGTCTTGTCTCTGCCATGGACAAGCCAGATGTAAAGGAGCACCCCACAGCATACTTCTTTCGCGATCGGGTCCTTATGCGACAGTGGTCCCCACCAGACTCACCTTTTGAGTGGGCTACGGTGTTCCAGGTGGTAGTCCCGCGATTGTACCGTGATTACGTGTTGTCCTTGGCTCATGATCATCTGTGTTCAGGTCACCTCGGTATTCGGAAGACATTGTCCCGTGTGTTACGGTATTTTTATTGGCCGGGAGTTAATTCGGATGTGAAAAACCACTGTAAAACTTGTCATGTCTGCCAGTCTGTGGGTAAGCCTAACCAGATGATTACGCCTGCCCCGTTACACCCCATTCCTGCAGTTGGTGAGCCCTTCGATCTTGTCATAATAGATTGTGTCGGCCCGTTGCCGAAAACTCGCTCAGGTAATTGTTACCTGTTCACTTTGATGTGTGCTGCAACTCGTTACCCGGAAGCCATTCCCATATGTAGTCTTCGGACCCCTGTGATCGTGAAGAACCTAATTAAGTTCTTCACTACATTCGGGCTTCCCAAAATCGTCCAATCGGACCAAGGCACCAATTTCATGTCCAGAATATTCGCCCAAGTCGTACTTGAATTGGGAGTCCGTCACTCTGTGTCCAGTGCCTACCAGAGAGTCAGGGGGCGCTGGAAAGGTTTCATCAAACCTTTAAGAACATGCTGCGAACCTTCTGCTTGGATGCAGGAAAGGAGTGGGATGAGGGGGTACCGCTCCTCCTTTTTGCCATACGTGATACGGTGCAGGAATCAACCAGGTTTAGTCCGGCCGAATTAGTGTTTGGCCATACTGTGCGAGGTCCTCTGAAAGTGTTGCAGGAACAATGGCTGTCTCCCTGTGTATTTCCCCCTACCCAAGACGTGTGTAAATATGTTAGCGCTCTTCGTGATCGCATGTTTGCGGTCAGAGCATTAGCCAGGAGAACCCTGGGCATCTCTCAGGACAGGATGAAGAGACGATTTGACAGTTCCGCCCAACACCGATCGTTTCAAGCCGGTGATCGGGTGCTCGTTCTTCTGCCACTGCCAGGCTCCACCCTCCGCGCCCGTTTTCTGGTCCTTATGTGGTCCAAGAAAAGCTGAGCCCTACTAATTATGTGTTGGCAACCCCAGATCGTAGAAGGAAGACTCGTATGTGTCATGTGAACATGTTGAAACCCTACCTCGAACGTTCGGTGCCTCGCCCCTCGCTCGCTTTGGATCAGCCGCCTGCTCCTGTTGGCATCGCATCTGTCACCACGTACTCGCCCGAGACAGATGACTTGCATCTTGGTAGGAACTGTTTGCCTTGCGCTCGCCTTCCTAACTCCGAGGCCCTGCAGAACCTTTCGGCTCGTCTCAGACATCTGCCCCAGTCTGCTCAGACCGACCTGTCATCCCTAGTGAGTCGGTTCCGGTCCCTATTTTCGGACACCCCATCGCGCACCCCTGCTGCTGAGCACGACATAGACGTCGGTGCTCACCCTCCCATTAAACAGCACCCGTATAGGGTAAATCCACAGAAACGGTCTCAGCTCGCTCGTGAAACCTCTTACCTGTTAGATACCGGTCTCGCGGTGCCCAGTAGCAGTCCTTGGTGTTCCCCGTGCCTCCTGGTTCCCAAGCCTGATGGAACGCTTCATTTTTGTACCGATTATCGGAAAGTCAACGCGGTAACCAAGCCAGATGCATACCCGCTGCTGCGTATGGAAGACTGTGTGGATCGCATTGGCTCTGCCAAGTTCGTGACCAAGTTAGAAGGGACCTGTTGAAGGGTTACTGGCAAGTTCCGTTAACTCCCCGTGCCTCTGAAATCTCTGCTTTTGCCACCCCTGATACCTTCCTCCAGTATACAGTAATGTAATGTAATGTTGTGATAATGCGCTATATAAATAAAATTGAATTGAATAATGTCCTTCGGTTTGCGTAATGCCCCGGCAACCTTCCAGAGGCTGATGCATCAGGTTCTCGGTGACGTTAGCAATTGTGAAACCTATTTAGACGACGTTGTCATTTACTCAGACACCTGGGAGCAGCACATCTGCTCGTTGGAACAAGTGTTCATGCGTTTGCAGACCGCTTCGCTCGTTCTCAACCTAGAGAAATGTGAGTTCGGACAGGCAGCCGTAAGTTATTTAGGTAAATTAGTCGGATATGGAAGGGTTAAGCCCCTGGACATCAAGGTCCAGGCTATCACTTCCTTCCCTGTTCCCCGGTCGCCTCGCGAGTTAAGACGATTTTTAGGAATGGCTGGTTATTACCGTTGTTTTTGTAAAAACTTCTCCGATGTTGTTGCGCCCCTGACCCAGCTGTTACGAAAAGGGGTGCCTTTCGTTTGGTCCCCAGCCTGCCAAGCCGCCTTCGATTCCATGAAGATGCTACTCAGCAGCTCCCCCGTCTTAGCGGCCCCAGACTTCTCTAAGCCTTTCAAACTGGAGGTGGATGCCAGTGGGATCGGTGCTGGTGCTGTCCTTTTGCAGGAGGACAACCGTGGACTTGACCACCCCGTTTGTTATTTTTCTCGGAAATTCGTGAAGCATCAATTAGCCTATAGTGCCATCGAGAAGGAGGCTCTCGCTCTCTTGTTTGCGTTACAGCATTTTGAGGTATATGTGGGGGAGACTCCCCAGCCGGTGATAGTCTACACTGACCATAATCCTTTGGTTTTCCTGTCCCGCATGTGTAATTCGAATCAGCGCCTCATGCGTTGGGCACTAATCGTGCAAGCATTCAATGTAGAGATCAGGCACAAGAAAGGTGCTAGCAATCTTGTGGCCGATGCCCTCTCGAGATCCTGACTACTGCGGGTTTGTAACGTGTTCTGTTTGTTTTCTTATGTTATTTTGTGGTTTTTGTTGCTTTTTGTTTTGGGATCTGTGTATATTGGTGACCCGTGTGGGTTCACTCTTGTGTGGGGGGGTGTTACGTGCCGTAAGTTCGGGTTACGTGCCGTAAGGAATTTGTGCCGTAAGTTTCGGGTACGTGCCGTAAGTGTTACGTGCCGTAAGTTTAGGAGGATGCCTGCAGGTCCTTCGGACGTCCTGCCCACTCGCCGATTGGTCAGTCGCCCCCTCGACTCCGCCCTCTGGACCTGACCCCGCCTCCCTTGCCCTCGGAGCAGTTTCCGGTTCATCGGCTGAAGAGATCGCCGCTTCGTTCATTCGTCTGCCCGCTACTTGCTTCTCGCCTGCTAGCTCGCTCTCCATTCGCTTTGCTTTGTTTGATTGATTGAATGTGTATGACTGTTTTGCCCTTGACTTCCGATTTTCACCTCGCCCTTATTTGTACTTTCGCCTTGGTTTCTGATTGCTTGATTGGTTTTGGACTTTCGCCTGTGTTTCGACTTCGCCTCTCGGTTTTCCCTTTTGATACCTTTGCCTTGGTTTGGTGTTTCACTAGGTGTTTAGGGAGTGTCTGCCTTTTTGTTTATTCGTTAACGTGGGGATTATTGTTTGTTTGGTCAGGGAGATAGATTTAGGCATTGTTGTTTCGTTTCACCTTTATTTTGTGTTCGCTTAGGTAGTTAAGCTTGGGTTACTCGGTAGATGTGCTTTTGTTTGTTTCTTTGGCCTTTGTCACTCCTGACGTTCGTTACACCTAGTGTTTGTACTGTGCTTGTGAAAAACTATAAAAAAAACTATAAAAAAAGACTCCCTCTGTGTCCTGTGTTCCCTTCTCCTAGCCCTAGTTGTCCTGTCCTCCCCAATCCCTCCTTCCCTTTCACTTTGTTGCGGTCCAACCCTAGACTGGATCGTAACAGCTGTGTTGTTTTTCCTCCATGCATAACGCCCCTTCTTATGCCCAAATAACTCAATTTTAGTTTCATCAGTCCACAGCACCTTATTCCAAAATGAAGCTGGCTTGTCCAAATGTGCTTTAGTATAACTCAAGCGGCTCTGTTTGTGCTGTGGGCAGAGAAAAGGCTTCCTCTGCATCACTCTCGCATACAGCATCTCCTTGTGTAAAGTGCGCCGAATGGTTGAACGATGCACAGTGACTCCATCTGCAGCAAGATGATGTTGTAGGTCTTTGGTGCTGGTCTGAGGGTTGACTCTGACTGTTCTCACCATTTGTCACTTCTCCAATAAACTTCATTTCACTTCTCAAATATCACTGTGTGTGTCTCCTATATGATATATTTAACTGACATTTTTTTATCGTAACAACCAACGATTTATACAGGAAAATCATGACGATTAACAAGGTTGCCCAAACTTTTTTGCATCCCACTGTACTTCGAAAATATGGGATATGGAATGTGAAACACCACAGTGGACTTCGGGATTGACAAAGGCTAGAACAATAAACAAAACCAGTGAACTACCTACACGCGTATCGACGAAACCTCCCTCACCCAAAAGAAATGAAAACAAAAGACAATCACTAAGCTAACCCTCACTATCCACAAAATCAGAGACAAATCATTAACGTGTAGAAAACAAATGGCAGCTACACCCTACAACTCTTACACATATAATTATAAACAAGTTATTTAGAGAACACAGGGAAACCTGCGCAAAACAAATTAGGCAGATTAAATGACAACAGATTCTGACACGTGGTCAATACCAAACTTCCTTAACCTGCATAAACATAACCTGCATGATGGTTAGGGAAGAGCATTTGTAATTGAAAGATTGCAGGTTCGAATCCCCGACCAGCAAGGCATCACTGAAATTATTTAAGATAGAATATGGTGGAAATGCTGTGGAAATACCACCACAAGGGGGAGCCAAATACAAACAAACGCTCATATTTGGATGAGCAAAATAATTAGCTTTGAATACATGATGGCTCTTAAAAAAGGTCACTGAGGAGTTCCGCACTCTTACACAGACAGTTGTGTGTGACGTTCTGATCCCTGATTTCTGTCTTTACTCTTTGGTCATCATGTCTGGCTGAAGACAGAGAAGTCTCTCAGTGCAGCCGACACAGGGCCCACGATGTGTTTTTCTTCAGAAGCCTGAACCCTGGATACAGGACCTCAGTGAATGTGGAGTGGAAGGTGTAGAGGTGGGTCAGCGTGTCAGAGGAGACGCTGTAGAAGGACAGACTGCCACCTTTCCAGTCCAGGTACACCCCGATCCTGCAGGTTCTGGACTGGGGCACAGTGATATCAATAATCTCCTTTTTGTTATGATGTGCAGAGAACTTGCCAGCTGAGCAGTACAGAGCCCAGGACTTGTCCCTGTAACCGAGGCGAGCCGCGTGACACGCTGTGCTCCTCACGATCCCTTCATATGCCATCCCCACATATGCATCACATCCATCCAGCTCCGCCTCCCAGTAACAGCAGCCCTGCAGGCCCTCTCTGCACAGCACTTGGTTACAGCCAATGAATCTCCCTGGGTGATCGGGGTATGGCTGCCGTTGCCCCCTCCTGGTCACCTTTGTGCCTGCATAACTGATATATAAAAACTTGTTTGCTGTGTTGGGGTCCAGTGTCAGCTTACAGGCATCTGCAGGGGGAAAAAATAAACATGACATTACTTTTACAGTATTTTTACAGTATTTTTTTCCATTTTAAAACTCCAGACTTTCCCATGGGGTGGAAACAATTAAAACTGATGACCAGGAGCTGCAGCTAGAGGGCAGTGCACCTGCCTGTCATGAAAACCATAAGGTCCAACTGGCTGCAAAATCATTATTTGGAGGGAAAAGCACACAAGTACTTACATTTCAGAAAGTCAGATCTACGCTCGTCAACTTGGCCCAAACTGTAAGAAACAGCAAAAGAAAAGATTACAGGAGTTACAGAAAAGATCAGGGCTGTGGGGGTTCACACACAGGTGAGCCTGAGCATTTCACGCCATTGCGCTAGAAGACAAGGGAGGGTGTGGATCTTCAGTAGCAGGCTGCCGTCACGTTAAACAGCACAAAAAAATAAAGCGCTCCTGGTCCATATTGCCAGAAAGAGGGGAAATTCTGTCTTCCATCCAGGTGTCCAGATCATTTCACCCAACCATGATCACACAGCCCTGAGTTCCCAATCTGGCATCCAGATCACTTCACCCAGCTATGATCACACACAGTCCTGAGTTCCCAATCTGGCGTCCAGATCATTTCACCCAGCCATGATCACACACAGTCCTGAGTTCCCAATCTGGCGTCCGGATCATTTCACCCAGCCATGATCACACACAGCCCTGAGTTCCCAATCTGGGATCCAGATCATTTCACCCAGCCATGATCACACACAGCCCTGAGTTCCCAATCTGGCGTCCAGATCACTTCACCCAACCATGATCACACAGCCCTGACTTCCCAATCTGGCGTCCAGATCACTTCACCCAGTCATGATCACACACAGTCCTGAGTTCCCAATCTGGCATCCAGATCACTTCACCCAGCCATGATCACACACAGCCCTGAGTTCCCAATCTGGCGTCCAGATCATTTCACCCAGCTATGATCACACACAGCCCTGAGTTCCCAATCTGGCGTCCAAATCATTTCACCCAGCCATGATCACACACAGTCCTGAGTTCCCAATCTGGCATCCAGATCATTTCACCCAGCCATGATCACACAAAGCCCTGACTTCCCAAGCTGGTGTCCTACAGTCTTTTCTCCCCTTTAGGCTGAGAAACCCATGACCCTAAATAAAGGTCCCACCCCCTCCTCCATTTCCCATGTCACATGGACCTCTCTGCCTACAGAGGACTAACTGTGTCAACTTACGTCACTTTGCAGGTGAGGTTCTTCCCCGCAGCAGAGATCAGCTCTGCCCCTGATCTGCCAGGGTTATTGTTGCTCAGGTCCAGCTCTTTGAGGTGTGGAGGGTTTGAACGGAGGGCTGAAGCCAGAGAAGCAAAACCTTGCTCTGTGATTCGACAGCTTGACAGTCTGCAGGGATGAGATATTCGTTTAGACCGGATGGATGTGGCAATCTGGCTTTCTGTATGTTACTAAACTTGTACCATTTGCATAGGTTGTAGTTTATGATCTACAGCTACATGTAGATACAGTGGTACCTCGGTACCACAAATTTCTTGAAAGAACTCGATCTGAATATCAGAAGTCGAACCGTGGACGCTGACCTAATATAAATTGTACGCGCCAGGAAATGAGTCATACTACAATGCAATTCTTAACCTAATGCATTGCGTCATGATCAGAATGCGTTGCTTTAAGCCAGCACTGTAAGCAAGTCGAACGCACCCAATGACCGGACTGGGGAAACAAACTGAAACTCGGACTTAATACAGAGGACTAATGACAACAACCAGAAACAGCTGATCACATGGGGATCACACACGAGGTTAACGAGGGGGCGTGGCACACGGAAGGAGTGGACGATCGGAGCAGGACAGGGGTAATGTTGGGATAAGATCTTTATCGTTTTGGAAGCCATTAAGAAAAAAATGCTCTTCTTGTTTTATCATGTTCATTTTGTGTTTAAATGCTAAAAAAAAAAATGTAGGCGTAATTTTGGGGGCCGGGAACCAATTAATTGGTTTTCCATTATTTCTTATGGGAAAAATTTGATCAGAACTCGAACTTTTTAAGATTCGATCTGGAGTCCGGAATGGATTAAGTTCGAGAACCGAGGTACCACTGTATTAAATTTCACATTAATAAAATATAACCGGTTAAAATAAATTACTTCATTGTCTGTAGTTTCCATTGCAGACTAGGCAGTGTCTCACAGAGCACCTTCACTGCCGCGTCCCCCAGGTCATTGCTGCTGAGATCCAGACACTGCAGTTTACACTGCGGCCTTCTCAGCACGTCACAGAGCTGCTTCACTGCTGCGCTGCTCAGTTTATTAAAGCTGAGATCCAGCCTCTCCAGCTGACACCGCCGACTCATCAGCCCAGAACAGAGGATTTCCAGTGCCTGGTCCCCCAGGTCACAGTGGCTGAGATGCAGATCTACAAGGTGCAACCTGGGCGACTGGAGAACCGAGGCCAGTATTTTACACGATTCTATTGAGAGCTTGCAGTAGTTAAACCTGTAAAGGAAAACATTCAATAATCATTGCCTCTGACCACAGTCTACACCTTGCTTTTAGCTAGCAAGCCCATTCTTTCTTTTTTCAATAATGTTGTCATGCCCGGGGGGGGTCGGGCAGCCAGTTGACCTTCGACCCCCAGAGATATTTCGCTCCCTGCTTGGAGTTTTTGATTCCTCTCCTCTGTTGTCATCTAGTTTTCTTTGTCCTCCCCTGTTTCTGTACTGTTCTGTCTTAATGACAACACACTCATGTAAAATGCCTTGGAGTGACTCTGTTGTGAAAGGCGAGGCCCAAGTCTCCCCATTCTGGGCGGGGTAACATGGCCCATTGTTCTATCTTTCCTCATGGGAGTTTATTGATTCACACTTAGTCTGGCCACTCACATAGGACCCATTTGCCTTGGGAGACCCTACCTGGGGGAATTACCCCCTACAACATAGCTCCTAGGATCACAGAGGCACACAAACCCCTCCACCACGATAAGATGGTGATTCATGGAGGGGTTTGTGTGATGATGATTTCTTGAAAATAATAAGCCAGTCAGGGTTCAGTTGGGGTCTAATAAAAATTATTGAACTGCTTCACTAATGAGTCACTAGGTGATTTTTAAACAATTAAACTTGTACTACTTACACAGCAGTTTTTCTTGATCTTATCACAGGGGCAAGTCGGCAAAGACCCGCATCTGGCACGTTAAACTTCTTCAGATCAAACTCATCACAAACATTGTGTGGCAGCATAAGTACGTATGCCAGTGCTGAACACTCTGTCAGAGAAAGCTTCGTAGCTGAACCAGAGCTTTCAAGGTTTTGGACTTTCTCCACTAGAGAGCTGTAATTCAGCTCCATCAAACAGTGCACAAGGTTGATGCCTCTGTCTGGAGAAATCTTCCTCCCATTCAGAATTTTGATGATGTACTGGGTTGTTCTCATAATGCTATGTGAGCTTTCTTTTCTCAAAGGCAGAAGGTTTTCAAGAAGACGCTGATTGGAGTCCAGTGAAATTCCCAGTAGGAAGCGAAGGAAAAGATCCAGGTGTCCTTTTTCACACCTAAGGGCCGTATCCACTGCAGCTTTGTGCAAGCCATGTAAAACTCTAGGCTTCATCTTGAAAAAATCTACCAGTGGCTTCATGTTCTTGTTGACAAATAAATAAAACACATGAAGAGCAGCAAGATACTCTTGAATGGTGAGGTGAACAAAACAGTACATCTTCATCTGAACTGAAAAACATTCCTCTTTTATTATTTCTGTGCAGATTCCAGAGTATAAAACGTCACGGACATCTATACCACAATCTTTCAAGTCCTTCTCAGAAAACAAGGCATTCTCTTTAACCAGCTCTTGAAAAGCTAGTTTCCCTAGATTCTGAATGATCTTCTGATGATCTTCTGCTGTCGTCCTTGAACCTCGATTATTCTTTTCAAAATACTTATTGTTTCTATTGATTTGAATGAGCAGGAAGTGAGTGTACATTTGTGTCAAAGTCGTGGGAATTTCTCTATCTTTCTGAGTAAAAACCTTTTGAAGAACAGTGGCTACAATCCAACAGCAAAGCGGTATGTGGCACATAATGTAGATGCTTCTGTTTGACTTGACATGTGACATTATTTTGGTAACTAGGTTACCATCAGAGAATCTCTTCCTGAAGTACTCTTCCTTCTGGAAATCATTGAATCCTTGTATTATTGTTATTCGGTCGACACATTCAGGGGGGATCTGACTGGCTGCTGCTGGTCGGGAGGTGATCCAGAGGCAGGCAGAGCGAAACATATTCCCCCGGATGAGGTTTGTTAGCAATTCACCCAAAGGCAGTTCCTTTTTTAAGGAGCAATTGCACTCATTATACTTGAATTTCAAAGGAAATCGACACTCATCAAAGCCATCAAAGATAAACAAAATGTTGTAGTTTTCAAGTCCTAGTAGCTCCTCTATTTCTGGGTAGAATTGATAAATAAGTTTCATTAGACTGAATTTTTGCTTCATTATATTCAGTTCACGAAAACTAAATTGGAAAACAAAATCGATGTCTTGATTCTCTTTGCCATCTGCCCAGTCAAGAATGAACTTGTTCACAGAAACCGTCTTTCCAATTCCCGCAATCCCCTTCGTCAGCACAGTTCTGATGGTTTTCATTTCACCTTTTAAGGGTTTTAAGATATCATGTATAGAAATTGTAGACGTTTCCTTTATGGGGGCAATTTCAATCTGACATATCTCATGTTCATCAATTACCCCTTCGATGTCACCTTCTGTTATGTCGAGGTTTATAAACACACTATTCAGATGAATCGATTTCCCTGCCCGTGGAATTCCCTCAGATACGTTTTCAAATTTTCTCTTCAGATTAGATTTATGCTTTTCCTGGACAACTGAAAAGCCATAATCTAGAAGGAAAAAAGTTGAGTGATTAAAGGGAATGGCAATACATGCAAATAGACACACCCTAAAATGACAAATAAGCCTACTTTTAAACCTGGTACTGAACAGTGGAACTTCAACCCTCATCTCTTCCAAGAAGACATCGACAAACTCACCCTCAGTGACCTTCCCTGCACTGCTCTCTGTCTACATGGACTATTGCATTATCACAGTCACACTTGGTATCACTGGATGCTCTTTTCTAATATTTTACAGTAACACTTATCTGGTATGAACCAAGTTCTCGTGGTGATTTGATTTGAATAGCCTTTCTGATGTTAGGCTCTAACCATGAGTTTTATAGCACTTGTACCAATTCTAATTTGCAATAGTTCTAGTGGCTTATTGGAAGCCCAGTCTAGTAGCACATGTAGCCAAGCTGGCGCCTCAACAGCTGCACACTGGAAGATATAAGGGTCATCTTACGATTTTATTGTACATAGTTATTAACTTTTGTCCTTTTTTATTATTATTGTCTGGTGTTGCTGATTATGGTTTTTCTTTATCTACTGTCACCTAACAGCCAACAGGTGGCGTAAGAGTACACACCTCGTCTCACTGATGTTATGCAAGTCGAAAAAAAAAAAAAACTGACCTGTTCTTGGTTTCTTTGGCTCTGAGCATGATGATGGATCCATCTTTGGGGAAAAACATTGAAAAACGTCTTTACATTAAATCGTATTATTCACTGCACTGCTGTTCAGCCTCTCGCTAAACCAGGGGGGGGGGGAGCATCTAGCCCCCGATTCACTGCACTGCTGTTCAGCCTCTTGCTAAACCAGGGGAGGGGGGGGAGCATCTAGCCCCCAGGGCATATGCGACCTGCAGTGCAGTTTGATCTGGCCCAGGAGGCATTTCATAAATACAAAAAAAATTAAAAATAGTGGACAGCAGGGCCGGATTGCATAAAACTTCCTAAGAATGGTCTTAGCAAAAAGTAGGACATAAGAGCATCGTATAAAGCTGCTAAAAGTAACTTTCAGCAAAGTCTAAGCCCAATTCCTAAGTGCTGACGGAGCCAGCATTTAAGTGTCGTGAAATGAGGACTACAAATAAAATCCCGCCCCAAATACTGAGTTCAACCAATAGAGGAGCTGCACGGTGAATATATTAATGACATTAAACCGTTAATGTAGGGCTTTATACAACATACCTTTCTGTGATCATACCTTTAATTGGTTGTACGAAAATCTACCTAGCACACCACCAATCAATTTCCACTAATAGATGCGCATGTTGTATAAATTATGGGTCAAACGCAAAACTCATAGCAAGACATTGGATTCTAAAAGAAAACCAAACTGGACGACAAACAAAACGGTTCTTGTGGCACAGTTGGTGCTTAAATGGAAGGAGGTAGTGCGAGGAAAGTGTGGCCCAGCTGTTACAAGCACGGACAAAAAAGCTTAGGGGGCTATTGCAAGCTCCGTAAATGCTGCGTCACCTCGGACAAGGTGTTCAGCAGAGGAATGTGAAAAAAGGTGGTATAATGCTTTATCGACCTCACGAAAGGAAATCACAGTTTATAAAGCAAGCATGCAAGCTACAGGTTTGTGTCATTACTTATATTGCTCTTATGACCCTCGCTATAATAGATGATGATGATAATAATAATAATAATAATTATTATTATTATTATATTTTTCCAGTTGCCAAAAACGTAGCATCATTATCACCTTCAGTTCAACTGTAGGTGCATTTTTAGGTGACGTAGGAGATTGTATCCGGTTCCTAATTAGGTTGGTAACAAAAAGGATGCCCTCATGATCGAG